GAATGGCCACCCCGATAGGAATTGTGGTCTGTCTCAGAGTAGGGGGTGGCCTCGCCACAGTTGGACATTTTGGAGGGGCAGGCTCTTCTTGCCCTTCCTCCGAAGGTCAGCCTCCAGGTCTTCCGGTACCTCCTTCTCCATCGGAGGCTAAAGCCTCTTACTGGCTTCCACCAAATCCTCCATTTGCTTTTTGTACGAGGAGGAGGAGGCCTTCAACGCCCGTGCCTCTGCCATCATCTTCTGGATGGTCTTGAAGTCGGGGCGCATCGGCATCTTCTTATTAAAGTTGTCTACAAAGAGTGAATAAGGAATTAGTATAAGTTTTGAGAGTTCGGAATAAAAAGCAAAGACTTCGGTCCAGTTACCTTGGGATGCCATCAGATCGTGAGTAATGAAAGGATGTTCTTTCGGATCAGCCTATGGTAAGACCTCTTCTTTTGAGGCATCTGATAAATGACGCAGATGGTGTCAAAGTCCTCGGATGACAGCTCGCACCTACAAAGGAAATGTAACTGTTAGGCACAATTCGAACTGAAAAAAAATATAAGGAAAAATAACTATACTCACTAAGTGTTGAATACTTCGTCGGGACCGTAAGAGACGCCAGGGGGTCCCCCTTTATAGTGTCCCATCGCCCTGTGGCCCAGCACCACGAGCTCTTCCATTCTTTGATGGAGCTCGGCAGATCGAGCACGAATGGAGTATGGGAACCCCATGAAGTAAGGTAATACCATCCCCGGATCTTATCCCCCCGACAGTAACCTTAGGTATGTAAAGGGTCTGGAAAACGGAGAGGGGCATCTCCACCCCTAATGACGCCTCTTTCCACAACATCCAGGAGCCCACCATTTAGCTCCAGGAGTTCGGATTGAACTGCGTCGGGGCTAGCCCATAGGATCTAAGCACCATCCTAAAGAATGGATGAACTGGTAGCCTAAGTCCGGCCCTAAGGATCACCTCGCTAATGGCCACACAGCCCGGCCTAGGGTAGCAGGCTCTCTCTTCCGGCCCGGGGAGGATCAAATCTATGTTATCAGGGATCCTATACTCTATCCTAAGTCTCCCCAAGTCGACCTCTCTTAATTTAGATGGATAGTCCCATGCCCCCCCAATTCACAGACGTATCTGCTGGGCTATCTGGTCGCTTCCATAAATTTCCCCCCTATTATTGCCCCAGCTATTTCTGAGGAGGTCGCCACAACGGGCTCGTCTACATTCACTAGTTCTAACCCCTTCTCCGAACCAGAACTTCCCTTCGAGGCCATTCTTTCAAAATTTAAAATCCCTAAAAGGTATGAAACTTACGAGTTTGAAGGTTTTCCTACCCGGAAATGGTGTAAGGTCGCCGGAAGTTCAATTTTCTCGCCGGAGTTGCTTAGAAAACGCCGAAAATCGCCAATTACGTGAGAGCAAAGTAAATTATTTGTTTCGCAAAGGTAGAAAGCCTGAGAAAGTTCAGAGTCCTCCTTTTATAGAAAGATAAATCCGATCTCCACCGTCGAATTCAAATGCGATCAATCTAAGCCGTTCATCGCATCTTCAATCTAGGCTGTTGAAATGAAACGCCAGATTTGATTTACGCCCAAGATGTCGCTGTGACATTCACGCTTACTTAAAACGCGTCACCTCGGTTACAACCAGCCGTCAATAATAATAAGTAGCCGCAGCAGCCTTTTGGGAGAATGGGCATGGCACCCAACTGTCACCTTGAAAACACGCAACAGTTGTCAAATCATTTGACGTTTGAATCGCCTCGGATCGAGCTCCTCACTCAACTTTACAAAGCTTGGACGCACCTAACGCGACGCCCCCTGTGGGTCATCGCCTCGAATGCTGCGTTCCCTCCCATGCTTTACAAAGTTTTAGCCATCTCCCAACGCGTCGGCCCTGTGGCTCAGCGCACCGGTGGCAGATGAGCTCCTCACTCAAGTTTACAAAGCTTGGACGCACCTGACGCGACGCCCCATGTGGGTCATCGCCTCGGATGCTGCGTTCCCTCCCATGCTTTACAAAGTTTTAGCCCTCCCAACGCGTCGGCCCTGTAGGTCAGCGTACCTTACGAAGTTTCGACTCACCTGACGCGCCGTCTCATGACGGTCACCACCTCGGACGCTGCGCGCAGTAACGAAACTTTGGCACATCTGCCTCGGATCATAACCTCGATTACTGAAAAAGATCAACCCCCAAGCTCCCACAAGTCGCAGTCCGGTCGGGAAAGCAAGCCCACCCATAATATAAATATTCATACCTAGACTTGGGGGACCACTGTTACGCTTCGATCTGAGACCGATCTGATACGCCTCGGACGCTCACCACCATATGTTCCGACCTGGTAAAGACTCGTCCGAAGTGTTTCCAAAGTGATGTCAGCAATACCTGCAACCTAGTAGTACCTGACCAAAAGTACCTCGCCCCCGAGGCCGAGGCCAAGTGGACCCCGGTTAGAGGATCCGTCGTCAATTTCAGAAAGAGATTTATGCCAAGATCTTTCCTGCACCTAAGGTTTAAAACATCTCCATGAGGCTAGATAATGTGACTTATCAACTTTATGTCAATTCAACTCAGGAGAGACAAGCTGTCCGCCCACTTTACAGACGCGGCTGATTGACGCCTATGAGCGAACGCCTCATACCGTCAGATGTATACACGCGTCCTACATCCAACGGCTCATACCACTTATAAATACTCAAGGTTTGGTAAGAGGCAAAGGTAATGAAACTCTTACTACATAGCACTCCATAGCAAGCTTTTATATTTTCTCCTCCTCCATTATCATTGATTTTCACAGCCCCTGGGTACTGTTCCGACCACTTAAACCTGACTTGACCGTCGGAGTGTATACGGCCGCCACCACCCTCGTTGGTCCCGGCCGTGTGCGTCTGACCATTCGCTGATTGTGCGCAGGGAGGAATACGTGGAGTAGCTCTCGGTTGGCCACGTGGAAGAACCAATTTTCGAGGTCAACAGAAACGTTAAAGTTTCAATAAAATTCAGGGCAAAAACAATTGGTTTGCAACAAAAATTGGCCGATTCAATACAAAAAAGCGATCGATTCGAAACAAAAGAAAGTTTGTTATTACCCAAACTTTTAGTTTGCTCTCAATCATTTACTTGTTCAATATCGATGTCCGAATCGATTTTTAAAATATTAATTTTCAAATTAAAATCATATTAGTGTAGAAATGACAATGGGTCGAACCGACCTAGCTCACCTCAATCTCTAGACTTACTTCGTGGGCTCGGGTATCCATGGGCCGAACCAAATAGGGGTAAACGAGCTACCCAAGCCCATTGAATTGTTGCCCCAATATTAAATTCTTAGGGGAGTTACACCTACCAATGACTCTTAACAAGTGGAGATAGATAGGCATGGATGAGACATGTGATGCCAAGTTTTGGATGGTTGTTAACCACTCTCTCTTTTTCTTCAGAGGAGAAGATAATACCAAGTTAAACGTATTTGGTTTTGCATGAGAAAACGAAACCAAAATTTGGAAGTAAATGAGAGAATTTCTTGCATTTCCCACACTTGGAATGTATTAGGGGACAAAACTGATGAAACTTTTCTTTCGTCTTTGTTAGGGCATGTTTGGCACTTTGTGATTCTTCAAGAATATTATTAGTCTTTAGGCAGCCCCTTTGATTCACTCGTCCATCATATGTCACGTCAATAACAATTTGCTAGCAACAAAAATACTATGCAGTTATTGTACCTAGATTTGACGTTCTCATAGGGTATTTCTAATGGTTATTACATTGGATGTGATTAAACAAGTTTAACAGTATCTCTCGTCTATCAATTCTACTCAACCTTTACCAATCCTCCAGTCATAATAGGTAATGGATACGATTTTATATTGAATTTATAGTCTTGACACGAATATTCACATTCTTTCTATCTTACTTGAGTTCCGTACCTACTAAAATGTTGAATGGACATTGGTAATTGAAAAAACATGAACGATTAGTTTTTTCTTATTAATCGTATTCAGTCATATAACTTATCACTCTATCTATCTATGAAATAAACAATGTCTTAAAGAGAAAGTTCAATCTCTCTCCAACTCGACGTTTGAACTTGTGTAATATCAAGTGGCACGACATTTGCATGTAAAAAAACATGAATTACGTTATTATTTTCATAATCACATCGTTCATATCATAGTCTTAACAAGAATATTCACATTCTTTCTACCCTACTCCAGTTTTGTACCTACTAAAATGTTGAATGGACATTGGCAGCTGAAAGAATGTGAATTATTAGTTTCTTTCCTTTTGTGTTTAGTCATATCATTTATCACTCGATACATCTACAAAATAAATGATGTCTTAAGAGGAAGGTTTATTTTTCTTCTCCAACTCAAGCTTTGTTTTTCTATAGTATCATGCGACACGACATTTACATGTAAATGAACATGAGTTATGTTATCCACTTCATAATTACGTTCGTTCATATTCAGTTCAACATATCAAACAAGAAATACGTGCAAATGCGAATAAAGGTGTAAAAAATATATTTTAATAATTAAATTCCCCTTGGAGAGAAAATGACAAGTGAATTCCTAGGCAAAGAATGAGATCAAATATCAAGAAAAGTCAGAAAGTTACCCAAAAGGGTTTAACATTTTAATCAATTAGTTTCAATGATTTTAGTAACCAAAGATTCAAGATTTTCTATTTGCTCTTCTATAGGTAGAGAGAAAAAATGGATATAGAGCAAAAATAAAAATTTGTATTATTGTAACAAATAGGGAGATGCGGAAAAGATGACTCCCTGCCTTGATCAACCGTGGAAGCTTTTATTTGAGGAGGTGCTATTGGACTCAGTGAATATCGCCTATTCTTGTGTTTATCGACGGTGGTGATAATTTGTAAAATACATATACTTGTCATAAGTACAATAAATCATAAAAAATATATGAATTTGTCTTACTATTATTAATATTATAAAGTGAATTTTTTTATAGTTGAAATAAACTCAATTGAATTTTGAAATAGAATCAGTTTTCCTCTTGACATGAAAGACCGCCACTGCGAACAAGTTTTGGGAGTTGCATTTCGAGCTCATATCGTTCATGCGTCTTAACTTTATTCGGGAAGAAAAAGGGAAAAGTAGCACTGCTTCTCACAAATTTCATATTCCTTGACATGTAAAACGACACCAAATCGGTTACGACAAATGCTAACCCCTCACGCATGGTAGACAACACAACGTAGTTTTGTTGAAAATTCTTTAGCAACTGACAATTCCCGTTTCTCAGCCTTAAAATTGCACCAAACCACTCTCTCTCTCTCTCTCTGTAAACATAAATCCATAAAAAAACCAGACTGTTTTGAGGAGACGGTGAGGATTTTTCTTTGGACTCTACGTGGGTTTTTGATGAATTGAAAAGGCAAGAAAGGAATTTAGAAATTTCGACTTGTTTGGTAAGTTCTTTCTACTGTTTTTCTTTACTCTGTTTTATGTTTTGGTTAATTTTTGCACTATTTGGATTGAAATTCTTTGGTCTTATGAATTCTGTGCATTTTGAGGATATTTTTTCGAGGCATTTAAATAACAAATTATAGATCTTTTGTTGTTAATTCTAGAATTAATTGTACGCACCGATGTTACAAGAAGATGACCGTCATCTGTAACCTTGTCACCTCTTCAAATGTTTCCGATGATGTCTCTTTCACCTGGTTTTATGCCACCACATTCATGGCTTAAGGAACTTAAACCTGAGGAGAGGGGTCAATATTTAATCCATTTGTTGGTCACTTGTGCAAATCATGTGGTTACAGGCAACCTCGAAAAGGCAATCATAGCCCTTGATCAACTTTCCAATCTTGCAACTCCTGATGGTGATACTATGCAGCGTATCTCTTCGTATTTCTCCGGGGCTCTTGCTGATAGGATCCTTAGAACTTGGCTTGGTATTTACAAAGCCTCCCATTCGACCAGGATTTGGATTGTTGCAGAAGAGATTCTTGTGAGGAAAATGTATTTCGAGTTTTTGCCGTTTATGAAGGTGGCTTTTGTGATCACTAACCAAGCTATTATTGAAGCCATGGAAGGAGAGAAAATGGTGTTATTGATTTAAATGCGACAGAACCTGCACAATGGCGTGCACTCATTCAAGATTTGAGTGCTCGGCCTGAAGGTCCTCCTCACTTGAGAATAACAGGAATCCATCAGCAAAAAGAGGTTTTGGAACAAAGGGCTCGTGTATTGACTGAAGAAGCAGAAAAGCTGGATATTCTGTTTCAGTTTAATCCCATTATTAGCAAATTAGAAAATCTGGATGGGGAAAACTTGCGTGTCGGGGAGGCTCTAGCAATTAGTTCCATCAGGTAGTTGCATTCTTTCTTGGCGTGCGATAATGACATAAAGAAAAAGTCCCCATGGACGCCAATGAGTGCATTTGGAGTTCATTTGCAAAGGGTGGCACAAATAAACCTAAATACTTTAGGGGAATTGCTTGAAAAAGATATGGTTAGGGTTTGTAGTCCAAGACAAGACTCGGCTTCTTGTTCACCACTATCTACAACAGCATCAGCAAATATTGATAACTTTCTTAGTACTTTATGAAGTTTGAACCCGAAGGTCATGGTGGTGACTGAACAAGATTCTGACCATAACAGGAAGAGCCTAATGGAAAGGATATCCTAGTCTTTGTACTTTTATGCTGCCTTGTTTGATTGTATGGAGTCGGCTTTGCCAAGAGCATCTTTGGAGAGATTGAAGATGGAGAACATGTTATTAGGCGAGGAGATTAAGAATATTATTGCATGTGAGGTGATAAATGTGTTTTTGTACACTTATTTAGATCACAAATATGACTTAATAACGAGCAAAATAATTGAATTGTGACTTAATCTCGTTACAATTGTGAATTGTAGGGAACACCAATGAATATGGTGAAATTCAGGAGAAAAGACTCGAAAAAGGACTAAAATGATGCAATGTGAAAGTTTAGGGACCAATGTGCAATTATCCAAAAGTTGACCCGATAAACAAATCAAGAAATTGTTTAATCCAAATGCAAATCGATGATATCTTGGGATGATGGAATGGAAATAACGACAAAAAAAATGTCAAAAAGTGAAAGATTCAAGTAGAGGTATCAAAGTGGAGAAAATGAAAGTGAGAATCTACCATGCGGCCGCATGGTAGATCTCCCTTGTGGTCGCACACATGAGGGCGGGAAATTTTTTACGCAGCACGCCATAACTATGTGGCCGCACAGATTAAAACCATGTGGTCACATGGTAGTTTTCCGAAGCAAAAATGTTACTTTCCTTGTACGATTGAAACTCTTTTGATAACAAAATTTTCACGTGATATAAATACCAAAAGACGTCCAGAACGAGGGGAGACCATTTTTACAAGTTTTTGAGAGATTTTGAAGGAGAAACGAAGAGAGAACAAGAGGAAAACATTGCGCCAAGTGAAGATTCGATTGAAACTTGATTCGGGTGATGACGTTTGTTCAACTATTTTTGTATTTTCTTCTTTTTAGCTTGCTAGGCTAGATTTTTCATTGCTAGGAGATCGATGAACCTTGAAATACTATGTTTAATTTTTGATTTTGATATTCGACATATTTAAACGCATGTTCCGAAATTGAATAATTTATTACGTTTTTATTTCCATATTATTATTGTGCACGTAATTATATGATTTTGGTGGCCTGTTTTATGCATTCGAAAGAAGGAAAATAAGTTCGACATAATATAAATCATCATAGGGTCCTATAGAGGATAAAAATATACCTCTATGCCTTGTGTGAATTGTTGGATATTCATGAAATCATAATGCATTCTGGTATGTTAGTATTCGTCATAAAGATATAGTTGAATCATATATTGGGGTAGGTTTGACATTGCTTGAGAGAGAATGCTAAATTAAAGTAGGAATATTAATTCATCTTTTGTGGAACTGTGTGTTAAATTTACAAGATTAAAAAGTGAACGGGTATTGCTTGGGGATTCGTGATCCTAGTGCGTTAGTACACTCATTAATTTCATAAATTATAGTAGATTGCGTCCAAATCATTTTGCATTTAATATAATTCTCTCATCCATAATTGTATCATAGTTTATATCTTCTTTATTTAAATCACAATACATCAATTTTACTTTCATATTTCGGTTAAGGTCATAATAGGTTGATTTGAGCTAATTCAATCCTTGTGAGATCGATACTTGGACTCATAGTCCATTTTACTACTTGTTAACGAACCGTACACTTGCAGTGAATTTTAAATCGAAACAAATAATTTCGTGAACAAGTTTTTGGCGTCGTTGCCGGGGATTGAAATTTAGTTTAATTTTATCTATTGTGACACTAATTCAAACTTATCTAGATTAGTAGCAGTTAGCTTACTAGGTTTAGTTTATTGTTTACTTTAATTTAATTTTGTGTTAATTTTGCTATCTCAGGGCTTGTATGCAAAGAGCACCTGATCAAGACTTGGTTCCCATAAATTCAGAGATCAAACGCACATTTCATCACAGGCAAAGAGAAGCAAGAGCGGCACAATAGATGACTAACGAGCAAAATCGACCTGTAATTCAACTCAACGAAGGTGCGGGGGTCGAAGATGAAGGGAATGTGGTACTTGGGGACTTCATGGCACCGTTGGAGGTCCAAAGTCAATCTAGCATAGTGTATCCTCCATTTGGGTAACCGAACTTCCAGTTGAAAACAAATGTGATTCAACTATTTCAGAATGGGCATCAATACCATGGGATGGCTAGTGAGAATCCACATACACACATATCCCGATTTCTGGACATGTGCCAAAACTTTAGGTACCGGGGGTATCTCAGACGATGCTATAAGACTGCGATTGTTTCCACACACTTTGCGGTATGAAGCACTTAAATGGCTGGATTCACTTCCCGTCGCAAGCATCACCACTTGGAACGAGCTAGCACACAAATTTTGTATCAAGTTCTTCTCGCCAACTAAGGTAGCAAAAATGCAGCATGACATCTCTATATTCAACCAAGGCGAATCCGAATCATTTGAAGAGGCACGTAATCGTTTCAAAAATATGTTAAGGAAATGTCCTCAGCATGGTTTTGATAAGAAGACACGAATCCGATTTTTCTATACTGGGGTTACTTCCATCCTTCAAGAGCATGGTAGATTCATCATCCGACGGGTCTATCTCCACAAGAACAATTGACGGAGCCTGGGAACTATTTGAGAGAATGGCTACAACTTCAGCCATGTGGTCTACAGATCGAGTGGTTCAGAAAAGAACGCCGGGGGTTTATGAAGTAGATACTTACTCAGCATTATCCACGAAGATAGACTCTTTGTTCCATAAGGTGGAGAGCATTTCACAGACCGCCACTGTAAAACAAGAGAAGAAGATAAGCTGTGAAGAATGTGGAGCAGACCACAATACTGTCAACTATCCAATTCGCACACAAGGGGTCGAACATGCAAATTTTGTGCAATGGGGTCGACGCCAACAGAACAACTCACATTCGGAAACCTTCAATTAGGGCTGGAGAAAACACCCAGACTTCTCATGGAGCAACCAGAATCAAAACTGACCACAAGGTCAATATCAGCAGCAAGATAAAAAGCCACCATTAGAAGAGATGTTTGAGAAATTCATGGCAACGACTAATCAGTAGATGGAAGTCAACAACCAGTTTATGCGAAAGACAGACGCAACTCTTCAAGACCAAAGTGCAGCAATCAAAAATTTGGAGACTCGAATGGGACAGACGACAATCTCCATGACAAGAAGAGCACCAGGAAACCTACCCAACAACACTGATATCAACCCTAAGGAGCACGCAAAGGCTATAACAACCAGAAGTAGAATACAACTATCGGAGATACATGTAAAAAGACCGGTAACCAGCAAG